CCTAAGTCACCTAAAGACGCGAAACTCACCTCCGGCTGGGGACGGAGGAGCGCGAGAGGAGGGCGGCACCGCTCCCTCCCGCGCCCGAGCCCCGACGCCGTGCGCGGGACAGGACGGGAGACGGGAGCGGGTAGGGGATGGAACTGGAGGATCCGGGGCCGCGCTCTGAGCAGCTGCCCCCCCCCCCAAAGGACCGCGGGGCGGCCGCGGAGGGGCCCGGGTCAGGGATGGGTCCGCTCCACCCGGCTGGAAGCAGACAATGAGCCGCTGCCCCGTACAGGTGGAGGGGGAACGCGTCCCGAGCCGCTCCCCGCAGGCCGAGGACGAGGAAGGAGGAAGGAGGCGGCTGCGGCGAAGGAGGGCGCCGGCCCGCCCGCTCGCACTTACCAGCAGACCCGGTCCCGCCCAGCGAGGCGCCTCCGTGCGAGCTCACGGGGTGCGGCGGGCAGGGCCGGCCGGGCGAGGAGCCGCGCCGCACACCGCTGTTCTGCTAGGAGGGCGGCAGTCGAGCAGCTGCGCGGGCAAGGGGAGGGCAGGAGCCTTCGGCAATGGCGACCGCCCGGGCCGGAGGGGAAGCGGAACAACCACCGCCGCGGAGCGTGGCCACAGCCCAGGGGGAGGGCGGGCGATGGCGGGGAGCGGGGCGGGGCGCGGCGAGCTCGCGCGCGCTGCTGGGAGTTGTAGTGTACGGACCCCGCTTTTTCTTCCGGCTTTCTTGGGTGCTTCGTTTGGGGACATCGAGTTCAGCGTTGTGCATCGTCTCCACTCAGGTCCTCCCCACTGGGGATGCTAAGAGGATACACAAATCTTTCTAGGACATTTCTGTATGGAAATTCATCTCTTTTCCATTTTGCTCCTTAACCTACAGACCCTTACTATATTTTGCTACTAAGTTAAATCTCACCTCTTCAAACTAAGGCCACCAAGGTATGCACTTATCCTACAACTACGTGAAAGTCCAATGTGTGCAGGACAGTTAGGCCTGGGTGAATATGACTTACACTGCCTTTGTGGAGCATATGAATATGAAAAAAAAAATACTGCTATCTGGTTTGAGGAAAAAAATGAGGGAGTTACTTTGAACACAGTGACCAGAGAAGCCCTCTTTAAGGAGGTGGCATTTACGCCTAAAAGAGAATGAGAAAGGCACGAGAACCAGCACACCCGGGTAAACATTACAGGCAAGAGGAGGTAAGAGGGGTTGCCAAGATCAGTTAAGAAGGTTGTGTAGCTAGATGTGTGCGAAGGATTTAGTATAAGAAAACACCGGTGCAGACAAAATTCAGGTAAGAAGTCTGCACCTTATTCCAAAAAGTCACAGAAGATAGAGATGCAAAAAGGGAACTGAACAAAGGGGGCAATAATCCTGAGGACCACTATCAATGTGGTAGTGGAAATAGAGAGAGGTAGACAGACTGTGCTTATCTCTGGATGTAGAGCAAAAAACTCAACTGACATGCAGGGCAGGAGAGAGAAAGGAATCAAGCAACATGACACAGTTAATCTGAAAGTGTCCCATTAGCACACACAAAGAAAAGGAGAAGTTGAGTTTGTGATCTTTTGTAGGGCTGAAAACTCAAAAGGCCTATACCAGTGGTGGTGAACCTATGGCATACATGCTGCACTGGGCTGCAACATCGAAAGCCCTAAAAGGTTCGCCATCACTGGCCCTCCACTGGCTTGGCAGAGAGGGGGAAAGTTCTCTTTAGAACCAATAACCATAAACTTTCCCACACATGCGTTTGAAAGTTTCAGTTTACAGTACTGTCAAATCAGGAAAGTGACCCTTCGTCCTCTAGGACCTGGAAGAAACCAAACCTCACTGCACAGGTGCACCTTCAACCCAGGTCTCAAAGGGTCCCACAAAGGAGAGGTTTCCAAAGCATCCACTATACTTACAATACACCTGAGAAAATAAGCCACCACCAGTGGGTCAAAGAAAGCATGTATGGTGGCACATGCCTGCACTCAGAGGTAGTGGTATTCAAAGCCAGCCTGAGCTGTATAGTGACACTGTCTCAAACCCCACCCCGACCCCTCAAAAAACTACAAACAGAATGAAGAGAATAATAAAGCCCATATGGACTTGCCTGTAATCCCAGTACCTGAGAGGCTGGGGCAGGAAGATCACCCTAAGTTTGAAACCAGCCTGGGCTACATAGTGAGTTCAAGGTCAGCCTGAACTATATAGGGAGACCCTGACTCAAAGAAAGGTTTCTTCATTTGCATTTACATTTTTGTTACAATTTTGAATACCCGTATAAATGAGTGTTATAGTTTGTTTGTGTTTAGATGTTCCCCTAAAGCCTCATGCAGTCATAGGTGGGTCTTTTTCTGGAATTGATCCATGGTACAATGCTAGGCTCAAGGGCACTACAATTAAGGGTGTGAATGCTACCCCCTCTAAGTAACCTGGATAAAATATAAAGGATAGAAAGCTGTGGTCGACCCTTGCTTTGTTTTGCTACTTTCTGCCCACCATGAACTGTTTCTCCTCTGCGATACCTGTCTGCCACACTACCCTGCTGATTATGGACCAAAACCTCTACAAACTTTGAGCTAAATAAACCTTTCCCCCTTAACAGAAACTTTTGTCTCAGCAATGAGAGAAGAGTAACCAAGACAATGAGTAAATGACTGAACCACATTCTAAACCACAATCTTATATAGTAACTTGAAAATGTGTGGAAATATTGATGAAACTTGGTTCTGATGAACAACTTAAAAAATAAGTCCCACCGTATAAACTAGGCATGGTGGTGGAGGTTTATAATCCTAGCACTGGGAAGGCTGAGGCAGCAGGATTGCCATGAGTTGAGTCTAGCTTGGCCTACACAGTGAGTTCAAGGTCAGCCTGCACTACAAACTGATACTGTCTCAAAAAACCAAACGAAGTGGCTGTATGTGGTGGCTCAAGCCTGTAATCCCAGAACTCGGCAGAGCTGAGGCAGGAGGATCTCTGAGAGTTCAAAGCCACCCTGGGCTACATAGTAAATTCAAGGCCAGCTGAACTACAAAGTGAGACCCTCTGTCTCAAAAAACCAAAGCAAACCAAAACAAAAACTACATAAACACATAACTACATACATTATTTTTTTCTTGGTAGTGGGGATGGAACCCAGAGGGCGCTCTATGACTGAGCTGTACTCCAGCCCTTTTCGTTTGAGACAGGGTCTTGCTCAATTTCCTAGGCAGGACTGGAACTTGCAACCCTCCTGCCTCAAGCTCCCTCTGTGCTGGGATTACAGGCTTCACACACATTCTTAAGAAGTTAAACAGCCGGGTGTGGTGGTGCATGCCTGTAATCTCAGCACTCAGGAGGTTGAGGCAGGAGGATCACTGTGAGTTTGAGGCCAGCCTGGGCTATATAGGGAGTTCAGGGCCAGCCTGAACTACAAAGGGAGACCCTACCTCAAAAAACAAAACAAAAAAAAGAACAGTATCACTCTATTATCTATCTAATCATGCTCCAAAATATTGTCATCAAGGTACTGAATTTTAACTGACATATACCTAATTTCACTCAATGTCACATTCTTAATCCCATAGTGCAAGAAATGCTTGTGAAACATGGAATTCTTTCCTATACAAAAACATGAAACAGGTAAGAAAAGAAACTAGACTGGGTTAAAATTTTAGATATTTTAAAGGTCTCTAATATGTGTGAGCTTTGTGGCACTGGGTTGCCTTTTCTGATATTTAAATTACAAGCAATCTCCCCCCAAAAAAGCCCTGTTAAGACTAGTCAAGCTGTACATGTCAAAGTATTTAGTTCCATAAAAACACCAAAGTGCTTCAGGGAAATAAATGGTGACACCATATATAAACATGTATCACGTCCCATTACCCTAAATAAAACAAACAATGCCAACATACCCTGGCTTCTGTTTTGGAACATGCTTGCCATAAAGACTGATTGATTGATTGACTGACTGATTGATTGAGACAGGGCCTTGGTATGTAGCCCAGTAATCCTGCCTCAGCCTCCCAGAGTGCTGGAATTGTAGGTATGTGCCACCCCACCTGGCTTAAAGTTTCATTTTTTAATCAGGTCTATGGGACTTTATTTTTTCATCCAAGTATAATAGTAAACCAAACCATTTGTTTAATAAAAAAATCACCTGAAGATTTCATTTTATGGTGAATGTTCACCTTAATAAAATACACACTTTAAAATGATGATCTGAGTTATCCTCCTGACAAACTTAATACTAAATCTTAGTATTCAGTTTCATCAAATCCTTTACCAATTCGCACATTTGGAAGAAATATTATAAAAAGTAAAAGAAGGATGGAAGTGCTTTAGTAATCAATTTTGATAAACTACAAATAAGTGGCTTTAATAATTTCATGAAATTAAGGTTTAACAAGCCTGATTTTCATCCAGATAATTTTATTTTTACTTAATGCTATTTTTACCATCAAGTAAAAGGTTTTATTAAAAAAAAAGTGAACAATTTGTCACTAAGGTATAATAAACTCATTTTTCTATCCCAAATGAAGATAAAGTCATTTTCACAAAATAAATGTGAATATAACAGAACTAAGCCTCCTATAGGCATCTGATGCTTAAAAATTACCAAATGTTTAAACAATAGAACACTAATTTTTTTTCTTTTTTTTTTTTTGGTACCATGGATCGAACTCTGGACCTTGCACTTGCGAGGCAGGGGTCAGAACCACTGAGCTAAATTCCTAGCCCTTTTCTTTTCTTTTTTTGTGAGACAGAGTCTCAAAAAAAAATGCTGGGCCAGGGATTTAGCTCAGTGGTTCGGGTGCCTGCCTTGCAAGCGCAAAGTCCCGAGTTCGATCCCTGGTACCAAAAAAACCAAAAAAAGGCTGGCCTTGAACTCATACCAATCATCTTACCTCGGCCTCCTCGCGGAACACTAAATTTTTGAATTAGTTGAGTGATATCCAAAATTTCATCTGGTAGAGGTAATTTTAGTTATAAATGAAGATGAAAGATAAAAGTTAATGCTGGAAGAACACTTTTTACAAATGATTAAGTCTTAGTTTTATTTAAAAATTTGCTGCATAAAAATTATAGAGAAAAATTCCCATATTTGAAAACAGCTACAAGAATCGAAGTAGAACACAGGATTGTAATGAGCAGAGTCACAGAACATACTAAAGAGCTGTGTATACTCAGTCCCACTGGAACGTGTAGGGTCACATTCTTATGTATCTGTGGAAAGAGAGGGACAGAAAATTAAAGACATTTAAAATGCAGCACATCCTTCTCAGGTGAGACCACTGTTTCTTTGATTTTATTTTTTATTTATTTATTTTTGGTTTTTTTGAGTCAGGGTCTCCCTTTGTAGTTCAAGGGTGGCCCTGAACTCACTATGTAGCCCAGGCTGGCCTCAAACTTGCTAAGATCCTCCTGCCTCAACCACCTGAGTACTAGGATTACAACCGTGCACTACCACGCCTGGCTTGATTTTAATTTGATCTCTTCCTTCTTTCTTTTAAATCTTTCAGCCAATGCTACATTTTATGTAACATTATTGTTTGACTGTTAGATCTAATATTTCATTTAATGTTACAAACCAGACTCAATTCCCACAATAACTCATAAGTTGATATTAGTTCTAACTTTTCCCACTCTTTACATCGAGTTGAATATACACTATTCTTTTCTTGAAAAGCTATATCCCGACATCACCCCTAGGGTCAATATAAACATGTTCTTCCTCTTAGTCTGTTTCACATTAGAATACAGAATTCTAAGTTGAGCCCTAGAAGAAAAACATTAAAACAACAAAAAAACTAAAATACTTATCCTGTTTCCTGGCTTCTCTCCCATACATTTGTTATTTACATATTATACAACTGAACTGAATATGTCCTTTACTGTGGCTAGCAATGCAAAAATTGTCCTATGTTTAACTTAGTTTCTACTTTCCATTTGATTCTGAAGATAAAGGGATTCACTTAGAAACCTTGGGAAATTTTATGGTTTAAAAATAAGTTTTGGGGTGTTTTTTTTTGGTACCAGGGATGGAATTCAGGACCTTGTGCTTGCAAGGCAGGAACGGTGCCACTGAGCTAAATCCCTGGCCCTAAAAATAAATTTTAACAAAGATTAAATTTAGACAGCTTAGGAATATTTTCATTTTTGGTTGCTGTTTATAGATAATTGGATTGATTACACACACACACACACACAAACACACACAAAGTTACAAACCCAATCTGTAAAAACTGGTATCTGAAGCCAGGCACAGTAGCACACATCTGTGATTGTAGCATTTAGGCTGTGGCGGGAGGATCACTGCAAGTTCAAGGCTAACCTGGACTACATAAGATTGAGGGCAGCCTAAACTACATAGTGAGACCATGACTCCAAAAACAATAGTACATCAAAAAAAAAAAATGGTATGTTAAACAAAACTTAGTATAGAATATCACCTAATTAATGGCCTAATACCTATTTTTCTGAGATTGATAGATATATTATAAAGAAAAAAGTCTAAAATGCTTATGATTGCTTAGTTTGTTACATGGTCTTAAAGTAAACCAGATTGAAAATGTTTTAATACTGTAATTATTTATTTTATAGCAATGCAAACTACTAATATTTTTGTTTTGTGGTGGTCTCAATTTTTTTTTACAATCAATAAACAGAAAATAAACACTAAGCATATGCTCACTCATATAAAAAATTAAATGCATTTTTCCGATGTAAATCAGAGTTTAAATAAAAGTTTGGGTCCTAGATGGAATTGGCAGTTTACTCAAAAGCAATTCTATGCTAAAACAGCAGTTATATCTGTTCGAAGAAAGCTCCCCAATATAAAACAGCACTGCTTAGTAGTAAGCCTTCAGTATCAGAAGTTCTCCTAGCTAATCTGGTGGATAAACTAAGCAACCACAAGGAAATTGCTTCAAATTTCGATACCCAGAATAGTACATATGAATAAGACTGCCTTATGATTATCTGATTAACAGTTAAGATGTCTGCTTGCTTAAATTTTAAATTTATTTTATTTTTGTTGCACTTATTTAACTTTTTTGGTTTTTTGGGTTTTTTTGTACTGGGAATCGAAATTGGGTCCTTTCACCTCAAGGCAGGCGGCGGAGCCACTGAGCTAAATCCCCAGTCCGTCAAAACAAGTTGCAGAGAAAAAAAGAAAAACAAGTTGCAGAGGTAAAAACTACAAAAATAGTTTGAAATAGCCTCAACTTGGATATAAAATAGTAATACAATTGTCTAAAAACTTTATCACAGTTAAAATATTAGTACTTTGGGTGTTATTTACCTTTTTCTACTTGCTCTATGTAACCTAATAAAGTTACTAATTTATTTTTTTATTCAAAAATTAATAAAAAGTAGGGCCAGGGATTTAGCTCAGTGGTTCTGCCATCTGCCTCGCAAGTGCAAGGACCCAAGTTCAATCCCTAGTACCAAAAAAAAAAATTAATAGAAAGTTGTAATTAAAAATAAAGCTTTCCTGGCCGGGGATTTAGCTTAGGAGTTCTGGTGCCTGTGTTGCAAGCGCAAGGTCCCGAGTTCGATCCCCAATACCAAAAAAAAAAAAAAAGAAATACATCTAAAAAAAAATTAAAAATAAAAAAAATAAAGCTTTCCTGATATAGGAAAACCAGCTGAACTTGCTACTATTTTTCTCTGCCATTTCACCCCTTTGAGTAGTACACCAGCTATATAGTACTTCTGTTCGGAACCAGAGAGACACGACTGGCCGTAGATCACCAGTCCCCCAGCTGAATGGTTCTTTACCCAAACGGGAGTCAGTGTTGCCAACAATAGCAAAGAAAGAGTATTAAAAACAAAAAGCAGCATTCAACATTTAGAGGATAAAATGCTAATTCCTTAAATGTAGAAGAAACAGACTTTTAAATGAGAAAACACTGAGACAGAATATGATTGGCTCACTGGTTGGTACTTCAGGCAGCTCCACTGGCAGACGTTCTTACTCTTCAGAGCACAAGGAGCTGCCACCTCGGATTGGGCCCAGCAGCTCAACACCGGGAACTCTGAGAGAAGCAGAAGAACACATTATCAGAAAACCTGTGTTTGGACTCAGGACTAGGCTTGTATTGAACCTCAACGCAAGTTTTTGGTGCTGGGATAAGAGTAATTAAACATTTGAACACACGTTGTATATGACTTGGATTCATCTATAATGTGCTGTTATCTTAGTATCCTTTTTTTTTTTTTTTTTTGGTACTGGGGATGAACTCCGACTTACAAAGCAGGTGGCGGAACCACTGAGCCAAATCCCCAGCCCTAGTGACCTTTCTTTTATAGGAAGCCTAAGAAATTAAAATTATAATTATCACAGAGGTTGTACATGACTTCTTAAATTCCATTACAAATTTAAGACTTGTTGATTTTCCAGTAGTAGGGATTGAACCCTGGGCCTCACACATGCTAGGAAAGCACTCTACCACCAAGCTACTCCCTAGCCTTCTTTTATTTTATTTTTTAATTTTGAGATACAGTTTTGCTAAGTCGCTAAACTGCCCAGGTTAGACTCAAACTTGCAATCCTCTTGACTCAGCCTCTGAAAATGCTGGGATTACATCCATTGGTCACTGTGCCCAGCTCTGAACCCTTTATTTTGAGATAGGGTACAGGCTGGCCTTGAATTTGCAATCCTCTACTTCAGCCTCCTGAGTACCTAGGATTACAGGTGTGTGCCACTACACTGGGCTCTTTTTTGGATGTGTAATATACATTGAGAAAAGCAAGCACAACTTAATTGTACAACTGACAAATTTCCATATAAAAAGCACTTAGATCAAAATAAAAATAATAAATATCAGATCTACCACTATTTTCTCAGGAAAGGTACTTTTTTCAAATCTGACTTAGAAGGGTTAAAAAAAAAGTACCATTAATACAAACATACAACTAGGCTGGATGAAGAAAGCTAATATGACTGAACATTTCTTAATTTTCTCATCATGAGAGGTTTTTTTTTCATTTTATTGGTACATTTTAGATATACATAATGATCACATTTATATAGGGAATTTGTACCTGTACGTGATATATCTTGCTGCTTCTTTTTTTCCCCCTATTCCCCTCCCCTCCCTTCAACCCCTCCTCCCTTCCTTATTTACAAAAGCTTTGTTTCCATTTTTTTCCTTCTATTCTCTTTTTTTCCTTGTCCCTTCCTTACTTTCCCCTTCCCCCTCCTCTTATTCCCCTCCCCATTTGAATATACATCATGAAAGCTTTTGATGATGGCAAATGTAACACTAAAAGCAATCTGTTTGCCAGTTTCTAGTGAACAGTTTTATTGACTTTTGTAAACATTCTATATAAGTCAGCCCAAATTTAGAGACATAACCAGAAATCTGAAAGAGGCTTCTTAAACTAAGGAAAAGTCTTGATTCTGAGAAAACTGTGAAAACAAAAGAGCAAAGGAATCTTTAACTTACCTCAATCTCCACAAAAAAATAGAACAATCATACCGCAAAACTAAAAGCTTGAGGACAAAGCTTACAATGAAAGCAGGTGATAAAGTATCCCTTTAGACACTAAAATACAGCAGGTGAAACAAAACACAAAAAGCCACAAATCCTGTAATGTCAGTACACAGATGCAAGAAAAGCAGCCAAGAGACAACATGGATCAATGGGTACGAAAACAAACAATCAGATGTCATTCACCAACTAATGAAAGAATATAGCACCTCTCATGGTCTTGTCAAAGGAATCTGAATCTGATCATACCTCTGGACTCACCTGCCAGTTTCCAGGAAGTAAAGGGGTCAGAGGAACATGATTAAGCCGAGTTGTGAGGAAAACCCCAATCATGAGAAATCAACAGGTCAAATGCCCTGGTTTCTTTTTTTCCCCCTGGTACCGGGAATCGAACTCAGGGTCTTGTGATTCCAAGGCAGGCGCAGTGCCTCTGAACTAAATCCGCGGCACCTAGGCCTGGTTTCTTTTTCTTTTTGGTATCAGGGATCAAACTCGGGACCCTATGCTTTCCATGCAGGCGGTGGAACCACTGAGCTAAATCCCGGCCCTAGGCCTGGTTTCTTTCAATAAATTAAAGAAAAGAGACAAAGGAAAACTGCTAACCAAGAGACTTAGTGGAAGTAAGAGATTTTTTTAAAAAATGGACAACACTAAATGATAGTATCTAAGAATCTTGCTCATTATGGTGATAAAATACTGTATAAAGAAACATAAAGAAAGGATGAAAAGTCAGTACAGTAAGTTACTCTTAGAGGGAAGGGGGAGGTTATGGTTGGGACAAAACAAATGAAGTTGCTAGTAGCGTGGCCAGCAAAGTATTATATTCTCACCTAGGAGGTAGTTACAAGGGTATTTGCCTTACTATAATCCATCAAAGTCCATATTTGTGTTTTTCCATATCTGCACTTCATTTTACAATCAAAAAGTTATTAAAAAACAAAACATGCTTTTGCCATCATACCGCTATTATTTTCAGCCCTCAGAAAAGACTTTCAGAGAAACCCACTTTCCGGTCCCTCTTCTGTCTCTCTTAGGCAGAAGCTTTCTTTTTTTTTTTTTCTTTTTTTTTTTTTGCAGAAGCTTTCCTTCTCCCAATAAAGTTTTCCTACTCTTAACCTCCGTTGTTTCTAGAATTCATTCTTTGATTTTAGAGAACACGAACTCACATTTCGGATATCTAGTAGGTTTGGGAGTTACATCTCTTCCCCTTATATCATTTTGGAGATCTTCTACCGAGATTGCTGGTCAGAGTTTGGAGACCAAAACTAGAAAGGTAACTGGGCTAAGAGGACAGCCAGTATTTTGGCCCTGGCCCCTCAAGGTCAACAAAGATCCAGGACACAAAGGAACCTTTCCTACAGGATACTACATCTTTGATTCCATGACAGTTCAAAAGGTGAAGGAACTGCTATCATGTCTCCTTACTTAAAGTTCCTGTGTCAGAACTTCTACTATCCTATGAAAGTACCGAAGTGTCCAGCAGAGAAATTGAACTAGAAAATGATCTACAGTCATTACAGTCTTATTCTGTGGAGAATAGAGATTGTCTATTAGTGTGATGGTAACAACCAACTAATAAAATTTAGAGACTAGACTACTTATCATGACTGGGGCTCACCAGAAAATGATTGGGACAGTTCTGTCAAAAAAAGCTTTTGGGGCCAGGGATTTGCTTCAGTGGTGCTGCCGCCTGCCTCGCAAGCACAAGGTCCTGTGTTCGATCCCCGGTAGCAAAAGAACAAAACAAAAAACCGACAATAAAATTTGCCCTAATTATAACTAAGGATGCAATTTGTTGGGAAGAGACCATTTCTAGACTTGTAAATAACAGCAATAATAAAGGCTTTACTAATGATAAGAAAAAAAAAGAAAAGACTTTCAACTCTTACCTTGGTCACAGGACATCAACAGATCTGGGTTACCGACCACTATCAAGGTTTCTGCATCCTCACTGTGCGGCCGGTGGTAGCGATAGTGCACAGGCAAAAAGGCCTGGAAACAGTCAGCACACCGTGCATCTTGTCGGGCATAAATGAGAACTTCAGATTCCTTGGACAAATAGCTGGGAGTTTCTATATTAAAATTTTCTGAAACCATCACTGCCTGTTGAGACAATAAATGCTAATCAAAAAAAAAAGAAATGAGGAAAAAATAAGAAGACAAATGTAAAAACATAAGATTGCTGTTCAGATATGCAGAAGTGTCAAATTTACCCCCCTTACAGACCATTTCCAGATGTGATCTGCTCTGCATATAACAGTGGTAAACTCAAGAAATGATGCCCTGGGACACCAAATTTCCCGTAACAATTGTCTCTGTAAATTTTCTTATTCACCTGTGTTTGGGTGACAAAACAGGTCCCAAAAAAGAGAAATTTTGTGAATAAATATAGCACAATTAAATAAGTACAAAAACCAATAAAGCCGCCTGTCCCGCAAGTGCAAGGACCCGAGTTTGATCCCCAGTGCCAAAAAAAACTATTGTAAGTGCCTGGGCATGGTGGCACATGCCTGTAATCCTAGCACTGAGGCAGCCAGCCTGGGCTACACAGGGAGTTCAAGCCAGCTGAACTACACAGTGAGACCCTGTCTCAATAAAAAAGAAAAAAAGAGAGAAAGAGAGAAAGAAAGAAAGAGAGAGAGAAAGAGAAAGAGAGAGAGAGAGAGAGAGAGAGAGAGAGAGAGAGAGAGAGAGAGAGAGAGAGAGAAAAGAAAGAAAAGAAAAGAAACAATTATAAGTATTACACCAAAAGTGAAAATGGACATGTAGCAAAAATTAGTTATGTGGGTATATGTATTTACTTAGTATACATGTGTCTTACTTTTCCTGTTGCTGAGACACCCACAAGTTAAAAGGAGGAAAGGTTTATTTGAGCTCAGTTTATAGAAGTTTCAGTTAGTCGGGCCGGGGATTTAGCTCAGTGGTTCCACAGCCTGCCTCGTAAGCACAAGGTCCTAAGTTTGATCCCCAGTACAAAAAAAAAAAGGTTCAGTTAGTCAAGTCATCTGGCTCCAAGGCAGGGCAGCATGGCAGAAGGGCATCACAGTGAAACAGTCCATGGCATGACAGGCAAAAGGTAGTGATTAGCGAGCAGCAGCAAGCCTGCCTTCTTTCTACCCTTTATATTCCAGGCTACAATATGATTGGTGACACCCAGGCATACCCAGAATGGGGCCTCCATTATCTACACTCTTAATCCCAATATCACACCCTTAGTTCACAGTCATACACCCTAATCTAGCTACATTTGAAACTCCCCACCTATAAGCACATGAGACTTTGGGGGGACATCTAGATATGAGCTGTAACGGTATTCATACTACATATTTATGTATTTATACATGCACATATACACATTCAGAGATCATACACATAACCTATGTATGGACACACACACACTCCTTTTCTTTTTTTTTTTTGTTTTTTGTGGTTTTTTGTGGTTTTTTTTCACACTCCTTTTCTTAGGATTCTCTATGCAGAGCCCTGACATACCTCAGAGAAATAAGCAGCATTCACTCCATCACTCCAAGCATCCTCAAATTCTAACTGGCAGTGATTAAAAAATTCTATATAGTTTTTCACACAATGTTCCACATGTCAAATCATAGTAACAGAACCCACTGGCAAAGGTCAAGGAATTAAATAGATTTATAAATGATGAGGGACCTCAGAGGTGAACTAATTAAAACCACTGTTCCAACAAGGGGCTTTTCCATTCACTTTGAGTCATCTCATCCTACTACTGTTAAAGGATTCTTTTTCATGAGTAGAAACTTTATGTGCTGGCCTCTAATATTTACTAATCGTTCTTGCTTACAATGTCTGCAATAAATCTGATCTTATTCCACCAAAGATCTTTCACGTATCAGAAGGCAACCGTGCTGCCACCACTAAGTCCTTTCCTCACAGGGAAACAGTTCCAGTTCTCTTGGTTTCTCATAAAATGGTTCCCAGGCCATTCATTTGAGTTACTATCTGAAATATTCATAAAGTATAGTGGCAATATCACTGTCATTATGCAAAACTTGCATTAGCTTAACAGATTTTGCTCGGTATGTGATACACACACACACACACACACACACATTTTTTTTAAATAAAAGTTTTTGGAAGGTACTGGAGATTAAACCCAGAGCCTTCCAACTGAGCTCATCCCCTTTTGGAGTGTTCTATACATGTCAATTAGGTCAAGTTAGTTGAAGTTTTGCCTAAATGCTATAGGTTTACCAATTTTCTGTCTAATCCTATCAATTATTACGAGTAGGACTCTGAAATTTCCAATTATAACCATAGGTTTTATCATTTCGTTTTGCAGTTCACACATTTTGAAGCTGTTATTTAGGTGTATAAATGTTTAGGAGTGTTATACTTCTGTAAACTGATCTCACCATCTAAAAACCTTTAGTTCTTGCTGGGCGTGGTGGCGCATGCCCTGTAGTCCCAGCACTCGAGAGGCTGAGGCAGGAGGATCACTGCAAGTTCAAGCCCAGACTGAACTGCACAGCGAGACCTTGTATCCAAAAAAAAAAAAAAAAAAAAAAAGTGATAGTTCTAGTGACAGACTTTGCTCTGAAATACATTTCTAATATTAGTAGTGCCAGTCCGGCTTTTTTTTTTTGATCCATGTAAGCATATCTTCCCCTATCATTTTACTTTTAATTTATGTTTTAGATGTAAAGACATTTCTTAAACTGGATGTGGTGCCACATGCCTGTAATCCCAGCACTCAGGAGACTGAGGGAGGAGGAGGCCTCAAATTCAAGACTAGCTGCAGCTACACAGTGAGTTCAAAGCTAGCCTGAAGTACATAGCAAGACCGTGTCTTAAAACAAAATAAAAAATAGCCAGGCATGGTGGCACATGCCTGTAGTCCCAGTCCTTGGGAAGCTGAGGCAAGAGGATTACTCTGAGTTTGAGGCCATCTTGGGCTACATAGTGAGTTCAAAACCAGCCTGAACTACATAGTGAGATCATGTCTCAAATAAAAAATTTAAAAAATAAAAACATAAAACATTTCTTCTAAGCTACATATAATTCAGTCTTGCTTTCTTTTCTAATTCAATGACTTACATTTTTTAATAGGGATATTTATTTACACTCAATACGACTATTAATATGTTTAAATGTGAAGCCATCATTTTGTTTTTTGTTCTCTATTTATAACATCTGTTCTCTATTCCCTATCATCTTTTTCTCCTTCTCTTGGATTAGCTGAAGTATTTTATTCCATTTTATCTGCCTGGCTGGCAAATTAGCTACAACTTTGTTATTTTCATGACTGCTTTAGGGTTTATATATTTAACTTCTCATAGTCCACCTTCAAGTGCTACTAAACTACTTCACAATTTGTATAATAACTTTATACATAAAAGTGTGTTTAACTTTTTCTCCCTTAAGTCCTAGGGAATGAATCCAGGGCCTGGCATGTGCTAGGCAACCATTCTACCACTGAGCCACAACCCCAGCCCTTTTAATTTTATGTTGAAATGTGCCCACACTAGTGTTAAACTCAAGATCCTCCTCCCTCAGGCTCCTGCATATCTGGGTTTACAGGTACATGCCACTATGCCATTATACACTTTCAATTTCCCCCTTCTAACCTTTGTGCTATTTCTGTCACACATTTTACTTTTACAAATAGCATGAATGCTACATAACTACATTGTTATTTTTGTTAATAATCTCATATAGAGAGTTAAATAGTAAGGGAAAAGAAGACATATTTACCCACATAGTTACCACTTTAAGCATTCTCCTTTCTTTGGAGTACATCTAGATTTCACCTGAAGACTTATTGTAACATTTCTTGTAGTGGAGGTCTAATAACATGTTCTTTCAGCTTTGTATGTGTCAAAGTCTTCATTTCCCCTTCATTTTGAGAGCTATTATCAGTGAGTACAGAATTTTAAAAAATCACAGGTTTTCCTTTTTCTTTTTAATTTTTTTTCCTTTTTTTTTCCCTCCTCCAGTACTGAGGATTAAATCCAAAGTTTCTGCATGTGCTAAGCAAGGACTCTACCACTTGGCTACACAGGGTCTCACTAGTTGCCCAGGCTGGCCTCAAACTTGAGATTCTCCTGCTTCAACTGCCTAAGAAGCTGGGATCACAGGCCTAGCCACGGTCTTTTCTGTTAATACTTTCTTTTCTTTTTTTTTTTTTTTTGTACCAGGGATCAAACTCAGGATCTTGTGCTTGCGAGGCAGGCAGCCTCACCACTGAGCTAAATCCCAGGCCATTTGAGTACTTTTAAGACTATTGTCTCCTTGTCTGTAGTGTTTCTGACAAATGTGCTGTCATTATTTTTGTTTCTCTGTGTAAAAGCTTTCTCCTCTTGGTGCTTTTAAGATTTTCTTACTGTTTTAAAAAAATTTTCGGGTGCCTAGGTGTAGTTTTCTTAAGTTTCTTGTACTTGAACATCTTACATGGGTTCATCAAATTCAGATTATTTTTCAACCAAATATTTTCCATGTTCATTTCTCTGTCACTCCTTTGAGACTCCAATTACACATACAGTAGACCATGTGAAGGTGATACACAGTTCACCTGTGTTCCCTTCACCTTCTGGATTTACCCATTTACACTTTTGGTTGTTCCCATTGCTATGTCTTCAAAATAATCTTTTTTTTTCCTGAGTGTTTCATCTGCCATTAATCCTGTCCATAGTATTTTTCATCTCACACACTACAGTCTTTTTATATATATATATGTATTTTTTTGGTACCAGGGATCGAACTTGGGATGTTGAGCTTGCAAGGCAGGCACTAGAATCACTGAGCTAAATCCCCGGCCCTACAGACTTAATATTTAAAAGTTCAATCTGCCCTTCTTACATATCTTCCATGTCTCTACTTAACTTTCAAACAAATAAAAGGTAGGTGTAACAACTGTTTTATGGCCTGCTTATTAATTCTAACGTCTGGGTTGGTTTTGATTGATTCATTTACCTCACCATTATAGGCTGCATTTTGCTACAAGCTTGCACAACTGCTCTTTTTTTTCCTTCAGGATTGGAGTCAAACTCAATGCCTGGAACATGCTAGGCAAGAGCTCTACCACTGAACCATACTCCCAATCCCCTGCCTATTTTTTATTAAGAGTCAAGACAGTGGGAAGTTGGTCTTGTTTTATGCTAGGTACTATGTTTCTTTAAAATTCTTTTATTTTTTACTTTTTGTAGTTCTGGGGATTAAACCCGTGCTAGACAAGCACTCTACCACTGAGCTGTATGCCCAGCCCTATGCTGGGTATTTCTATATTCCTATAAATATTATTTTTTATTCAAAATTATTTAATTATTTTTAATTATACATATTTTCCTATAAATATTCTTAAGCTTTGAGATATAGTTGCTACCTGCAACAGTTTGACTTTTTTGAAGGTCTTGCTTTTAAGATTTGGTATGCAGGACTAAAGCAATGCTAAGTTTGAGACTAAGTCAGTGATGGCAATCCTATGGCATACATGCAGCAGCCACCTATTTGTTATCATTGAAAGCTCTAAAAGGTTCACCATCACTAGAGTAAGTGCTTCTCATCAATGAACAAAAGCTTTTCTGTTTACTCTACCCACCATCCAATAAGTTATGAGGCTTTTCTCAGTCAGCTGATAGGAAGAGAAACCACTAGTGGCCTTGTCTCAGTGGCAGGCACTGTTAACTCTAATTTTGTCAGCTGGTTCTCTCCCTGGCCTCAGCAGTTTCTCTCATGTAGGCACTAATCAGTGCTCAGCTACCTACTTGAGGGAACCGTCCACAGCTCTCAGGAGTGTTGGGTGGGTGCAGTTCCCTCCCCTCCAATACACTGGTGAACTGTAGTGACCTTTGTTTATCCAGAACCTTAACCTTATCTCTACAAGCAGGAAGTCCACCAGGCTCTGTCTGAGTTCCTCCTTCCTGCACTACAACCTGAAAACTCTTAAGGAAGTGAGTAGGGACAATCATGGGCTCACCTTCATTATTTCCCCTCTCTTAGATTTCACACCTTTCTCTGCTAATATTCATTGCCTATTTTCATTATTTTATATATTTTATTTCTTGTGTTAAGTGGAAGACTAAATCTGTTCTTTGCTCTCCTACATGTTCAGAAGTCTTGACACTACAAATTTTGCCTGAGTAAAACTTATGGTTTTGAAAACACAATGTTTTCACAAGACCTACAGAATAGCAATTTCCTATATTTCAATCTAATATTATACTGTTTTCAAAGAATATGAGAGGCCTTTGATTCCAGGTACCTGTTTAGGGGCCGATGATGTAGGTCAGTGGTAAAGCACTTGCCTAGCATATACAAGGCACTGGGTTTGATCCTGGGACTGAAGAAAATTTAAAAATCTGCCTAACAGCCCTACCTAGAAATGAGGTTTATTTGTTATTTTATCCTTGGTGAATCTTTTTAAAGATTGTATTTATTTTTAAACTGCTCACAAACTCCTTATAAAGCATTTGTTGCCACACTACTCTATTGCTTTGGACTGATGGAGCCAAAAATTGTCTCACCAGGAAGAGATGAGGTCTCGGTCTAAGTATATGGGCATCAACTAACCCTTACATATGAATTATCTTCCAACCAGTTAAACATCATATGATACTACTTCTCATGAAAGAATTTCCCTGCACAGGAAAGGGACCCTAGTGTCAACTCAGCTAGAAAGAAGGAAAAAGTATTTGATATATCAAGAAATCAACTTTCGGGACATGGATTTAGCTCAGTGGTTCCACCACCTGCCTCGCAAGGACAAGGTCCTGAGTTCAATCCCTGGTACCAAAAAAAAAAAAAAGAAAGAAATCAACTTTCAATTATGTCACAACTGTGATATCTACTTGCCTAGAAATTTTCAAAACAAAACAAAAATAAAATATTTAGACAGTAGATTATGGAGCAGAAAATCAAGATAAAGAAAAGCTTGTCAATCAGTGTACAATGGCACCCTTTCCCTCCCCCTCTTCTTGTAAGGATCCACCTACAAACATTCAAATCTTATCGCAACCAAAGGTATAGACATGTAGCTTCATCTTGGATATTCCTTTTTTAATTTTAATTTTTTCCAGTATCAAGAATTGAACTCGACCTGGAGCTTGCCAGGCAGGCACAGTGCTGCTAGGATACATCTGCAGCCCATATATTCCTTTTTTAAAAATTCTATTTTCTTAGAACATTGAAAGTGATTTTATCAAGTGGGTCCTAAATATGATTCCAAGCTATGTTATTTACAAGTTGAGAACTGTGTGCGGGAGACCAGCTTGAAACCGCAATGAGCAAGCTTTAAAATATTACTGAATTGGCTTATAGTTCCACTATTGATTAAAAATGTGAGTCAATACAAGGCCTTGGTGTGACTTGTTAAACGAGCCTTTGGCTGGTATACAGAGACAGAATTCCCTACGCCAACAGTCACAATTGAGATCTCAATGATCAAGGAGATTATGATGTCTCTAATAACAAGATGACACTACTGCTGAGGATTTATGACTCCATGCAAGCCATTCTCCCAGATCAAAGGTTAGCTAAAGATAATATAGGCGGCTTGTTAACTATGACCTGCAAGATAACACAAGTGGCTTGTTAATTGTGACTCATCCTTCCCAAAAATGCAATCTTAGGCTGGGGATTTAGCTCAGTGGTCTTGCTGCTTGCTGCACAAGCGCAAGGACCCAAGTTCGATCCCTTGTACCAAAAAAGCAAACAAACAAAAAATGCAATCCTTCCTCCCTTTTATAGACTAGTTCATTAGTGACTTAAGTCCTGCTATTCCTTACATCCGCCTTTATGCCCCTTGCTATGTTGTATTTTTTTTTTTTTTTTTTTTGGTACCGGGGATGGAACTCGGGACCTTGTGCTTGCGAGGCAGGCGGCAGAACCACTGAGCTAAATCCCTGGTCCCCTTGCTATGTTGTATAATCATAAATACTGACAAATCCAGAGCTTGTGGCCTTAGCCAGGAAGATCAGATGGTCTTAGCCGGGAGAGAGCTAAGATCAGATCCCAGCGCCCCAAGTAATAAACTATCATTTGTTCTTATTTTCTCATTCTTTGTTCTTTGTATATTATTCTTTCATCCTGTGCTATACCCTCAGTCAGGTGGTGGGGCATCCCTTGATACTATGTTTAAATTTGAAAGCTGTACTTATAATGCACAACTCAGTGAAGGGAAGAAACAGCAAGGTCCTTCCAGACACATATGTGTAAACTGCTGTATGTACTATTTATGAACAAAAAACTCTTTGAGGGCCGGGGATTTAGCTCAGTGGCACCGCGTCTGCCTTGCAAGTGCAAGGTCCTGAGTTAGATCCCTGGTACCAAAACAAAAAACAATGACAAAAACAAACAAACAAAAAACTCTTTGCACAGAGGAAGAAACTTGGTAACTAGGAGTAGAGATAGGTGGAAGTTTATCATTGTACGCCTTATTGTATCTCTTGAATTTTGAGTCAAGAAAATATAATTACTTATTAAATAATTAAAATAATGAAACAGGTGAAGAAAGTGCCCTAAACTACAATTACGAATAAACTGCCATAACAAATTTACCTATTTTGCCTTTAAAAAAAAAAAATGTAGATTATAATCTTATTAACTAAGATAGTTATTTCCCGAAATTTCTTACTAAGAATCATTTGGATTATGGCTAGGCATGGTAGTGCACACCTGTAATCCCAGCACATGGAAAGATAAAGGTGGAGGATCACCACAAGACAGCCTGGGCTACAAAGAGAGAGCCTGTCTCAAAGAAAAAAAGAAGAAAAAGAATCATGTGGGTTGTTAAAAACGGGCTCTGGGGAGCAACCTAGACCTACTGAATCATGATTTCCCAGGAAGATAAGACTATACAAAATATATCCCACTGTGGTCCTTTTGGTTCCTCACTGTGGAACCACACTGTGGTTTTTTGTGGTTCTTACCAAAGCTGGGGAAACTCTTTAACTCAGGGGTAACATGTTGGGAAAGAGCAGTAACATTGCAACTGAACAACCCTGGGCTTACTTTTTGGCTTACAAATATCCATATAACCTAAGTTACTTGGCCTCATTGTGCCTGTTTCCTTATCTATAAAACAAGAGATAATGACTCCAGGATTATTGTAAGAATTTACTTTGTAAAGGATAGGAGACACAATCTTTAAAGATTAATTTCTTCTGCTTCCTTTAGAAAAAATTAAAGATATCCAGAATATAGATGTCCAGTAAATATTATTTTCCTTTCTTCTCATACCTAAATTATACAGATGATGGGGTACATGTCTACCTAATGCAACAGTTACACTTTTCTTTGTCCCTAAACTGTGAACCACGCTGCTGAAAAACATTTAACTAGCTCCACTTAGCTGGCAGATTCTGACAAGTATCTCTCACTTGAAGAATACTACTCCCATTCTATCTCTAAAAAAGTCACTCTGTATATGCTGACAAACTTTAAAAAATATTACATCATCTTACCGACTATTTTACCTTAATCAAAATTATGACATCCCTAAATCAATTTTTCTCTCTCTACCCCAAAAAAGGCCCCTAACAGCTATACCTCTGTTATGTTTTTCTCTTGGAATGAAGCCAACTCGTATGGATCCACAAAAAGTCCTGTGGGGATGGACTGTTTAATTAAGAGTCGGCAGGTCTGTAAGTCCTCAGTACCTTCTCCAAACTTCACTTTTATTAAAAGGTCTCTGTAAGACAAATAAATTTAAAGGAAATCCCTTCATTCAATTGTTAGATGAGAGAGCGTAACATCATATCGATAATAACAGAAACTCTGGATTTTAAATGCATTTTCTAAAAGTAGACTATCAAATCAAGGGAAATATTTATACCACATCAGACTCAACCATTGCATCTTTCATAATTCATAAATCACAGTTTAAGGGCCAGGGATTTAGCTCAGTGGTTCCCCCACCTGCCTCGAAAGCACAAGGACCTGAGTTCAAGCCCCGGTACGGCGCCCCCCCAAAAAAATGTCAGTCAGTAGAAACAGACCTAGAAATGACAGAAGTGACAAAGTAGGCAATGAACACTAAAACAGTCATCATAAATTGGGAGTGGTGGCGCACACCTGTAATCCCAGCACTTGGGAGGGTGAGGAAGGAGAATCACTGTGAATTTGAGGCCAGCTGGGAAAACATAGTGAGTTCGAGGCCAGCCTGAACTACATTACAAGAGCCTGTCTCAAAAAAAAAAGCAAAAGAAAATTTAAAAGAAAATCATTATAAATATACCCAACATGTTCAAGGATTTAAAGACAGTTATAAACATTATGAGGGAAAGAGAAGAAGATATTTCTTAAAGAACTAAATGTAATTTCAAGAGAAAAATAAAATTTCAGAAATAAAAAATTTACCTGGATGTAATCAAAAGCAATTGGACACTGAAGATAAAATATTGATGACTTGAAAACAGAGCAACAGAAACTATCCAAACTGAAGCACCAAGAGGAAAACAAAATGGAAGGAAAAAAGGAAGAGCCAGGGCCAGGGATTTAGCTCAGTTGTTCCGCTGCCTGCCTCACAAGTGCAAGGACCCAAGTTCGATCCCTGGTACCAAAAAAAAAAAGGAAGAGCTTCAATGATCTTTAAACAATAACAAGTGGTCTTGTATGTATGTATGTGTATATATATATACATATATATATACATATATATATACACATATATATATGTGTGTGTGTGTGTGTGTGTGTGTGTGTGTGTGTATATATATATATATATATATATATAATCAGAGTCCTAAAAAAAGAGAAAAACTGAAGATATAATGACTGAAAAATTTTAAATTTCAGGGGCTGGGGATTTAGCTCAGTGGTGCTGCTGCCTGCCTCCCAAGCACAAGGTCCCAAGTTCGATCCCCGGTATCAAAAACCAAAAAAATTCTAAATTTCATCAAAATTCTAATACGATAAATACAAGAATCTCAGAAAATTCTAAGTAGGATATACACAAACCACAATAAGGCATTTTATTACCCAGTCACTGAAAAAAAATCAAAAATATAAAAGGAAAAAGGTATAGTACGTAGGCAGTAACAAAGATAAGAACAAGCCAGAAGACAGTGGACACACAACATATTTAAAGTACTAAGAGAAAGGAAGCTGTCAACCGAGAACTATATATCCAGGAGGAAAATCCTTCAAAAATAAAGGCAAAATAAAGACTAACACAAACTAAAAGAATTTTTGTCACTCCAAGAAATAGTAAAAGACATTCCTCAGGCAGAGAGAAAATTATACCAGATGGACATATGAATCTATAAGAAAGATGAAGGAGCATGGGAAATGATAAATATCTAGGTGAATATAAAAGTTTTTTTGGCCAAGTGTGGTGTTATGTTCCTAAAGTTCCAGCTACACTGAAGGCTGAGGCAGGAGGATCACTTGAGCCAGAAATTCAAGGCCAGCTTGGGCAAAATAGTGAGACACTAGAGGAAAGGAAAAAGAAATGAACTATTCTGATATAAGATTCATACTCAGTTTTCTTCAAATAAGGCAAGAAAAAAAGAGAAAAGTAGATGAAACATATAGAAAAACAAATAGAAAAAAGTAGCAAGATGAACAGATTTAAACCAAATATATCAATATTTGCATTACAAATAGTACAATCACTACATTTGAATGCAGAGACTGACGGACTATATAAAATAGCAAAACTCAACTATATGCTGTCTATAAGAAATGCTCTGAATATAAAGGTAGATTTAAGTTAAAAGTAAAAGATGCAAACAATAAATATGCAAACAATAAATATGGAGTGTTCCGGGGATTTAGCTCAGTGGTTCCGGTGCCTGCCTCGCAAGCACAAGGTCCTGGGTTCAATCCCCAGTACCAAAAAAAAAAAAAAAAAAAAGTAGTCTTCATACATTTCCAAAAAATGTCAAAGTGCACCCTGGAGGGAATTCTAAATAAACATTTAAAAAATATATATACGCAGCCTGCCTCGCAAGCGCAAGGACCCAAGTTCAATCCCTAGTACCAAAAAAATAAATAAATAAAAAATTAAAAATAAAAAATACATATATATGGAGCAGTTATTTTACATCAGAAAAAGTAGACTTCAGGGGGCCGGGGATTTAGCTCAGTGGTTCTGCTGCCTGCCTTGCAAGTGCAAGGTCCCAAGTTCAATCCCTGGTACCAAAAAAAGAAGAAAAGTAGACTTCAGGAAAATGAATACTGTCAGGAATATAGAAGGACATTACACAAAGATAAAAGCAACCAATTTATCAAACCAATATAACAATCCTACATGTACCATAATTGCCTCAAAGTAGTTTCAAAATGTTCATACATTTTACTTCATACCCAAACCTGGTAGAACTACCAGGATAAATAGACAAATCCACAATTATCAGAGATTTCAACACCCCACTCTGAATAATTGACAGAACAAATATACAGAAAATTAATAAAGATAGAGAAGGCGTGAATAACATTATCATCAAATTGATCTACCAGACATTCATAGAATATTCTACTAAAGAAAAAGCATAGTTTTAGCTGTGCAATAAAAACCATATGGTGAGTGATGAAAGATCTAGTTTAAAAGAACTGAAATCACACAGAGTATGTCAATGGGTCAATGAAACCAAAAAGAATATTAGGAAATTTCGCTGCCTGCTATGCAGGCGCAAGGACCCGAGTTCAATTCCCAGTACAAAAAATATATATATATTGGGAAATACATTAAAATTTATAAGATACTAGGAGGGAAACACCTAGCTGCAAATGCAAATACACTACAGAAAAATGTCTAAAATAAACTATTAAAAAAACTAAAAAAAAAAAAAACTAAGAAGAGGAAATTAAACTCAGTAAAAAGGAAGGAAATAAAAGAGAATGAATCAATGAAATAACTTCTACCAAATCATTTAAATTCTCGAGACATAGTTCTTTCAGTTAAAAAGAAAATTTCATGTCTCACAGCCATTGTGAAGATTAGGAATACTGTGTATATAATGGCTATATTATTACACATGATAAACAGTAAATGTTTTCTTCTTCTCTCCATTGTCATTTTAACCACTACAGTGGTACCTCGGTTCACAAACTTAAATTTGTTCTACAATTTTGGAAAAGATGACCACATTTGCCTTTGTGTCCCAAAGATGACCTAGGTCAAGTTGCATTTATCATCCAATAAACAAAATTTTGCCAACTGCTTCTGTTTGTGAACCAAATTGTTTGCAAACAAAAACATTCCTGAACTGAGGTATCAATCTATTTCCAAGTGTGACTCACATATGATAAATCTGTCACTGATAAACTTTTAAAGAACGCTGGGTGCGGTGGTGCCTGCCTGTAGTCCCAGCAATCGGGAGGCGAAAACAGGAGGATCACCTAGAGTTCGAGGCCAGCCTGGGAAACACAGTGAGTTCAAGGCCGGCCTGAACTACACAGTGAGACCCTGTCTCAAAAAATAAAAACAAAAACAAAAAACAAACCCCAAAACTTTAAGAAAGCAAATGACTTTTCAATTTATCCATTATCCAAGTATCAATTTTTTGGCCAGGGATTTAGTTGAGTGGTTCTACCGCCTGCCTCGAAAGTGCAAGGTCCTGAGTTCAATCCCTGGTACCAAAAAAAAAAAGGAAACCAAGTATCAATTTTTTGCTCTAAATTATATGACAGTAGTTTTAAGTAGAAATCAATGGACAGCTTACCTGTGGAAACCATCTTTCAAAACTTCTTGTCTCAAAATGATTTCGGGACAAGTGGCTCTTATGCCTATAGGAATCAAAATAGTCTTTAAAAAATAAAATAAGCAGCCAATGAAAGAAAAATTAAATAATTAGAAAACTAGGCTTTACTTGCCAGAAAAATCTAACTTAAAACTTTTAAAATCTAACTTTTTAAATAGAACAAAAACTTTAAAATTTAAGCAATTTGAGCTACATATTAATTTACTTTCAGTATAGCAGTGATTAATAACAGTGATTTGGGAGTTAGATTGATTTCAAATCCCTGTTACTTAATAGCTATGGGTCTGGGCAAGACAGTTTATCTCTGTGTGGTTGTCATAAAAACTTAATATATGTAGAAGCACTAGAACACAGCTTACCAAGTACTGTACTAAGTGTTCTATGTAAGTGTATGTTATTAGTAATACTTGGAGTTAGGTGATCCCAATAGACCAAAAGGGAACAGAATGTCTAAAGAGTCAGAAAAATCTGTTTCTATTTCTAGTTCACTAACAGTGTGCACGTATCAGACATAATGGCAACCTACAAAACTTGAAAGATTTTACATTTATACCTTGTGGAGATGTTGGAAGGGTAAAGGGAGGGAGGGAGGCAGGCAGGCAGGAAAGAAAAGTGGATGTACTTAAAGGTTCAAAGGGTTCCTTTACAAATTCAGAAACCAGAAATGTTACTCTTCTGACTTCATGCAGAATTCAGACACCAAAACTATTACTCAGTGTAACTATTACTCATCATAATACCAAATATTCAGTTTCTATCCACCACCAGCACCACTAGGCATCCTGCTATGGAACTCTGACCCACTTCAAAAGCTAAAAGAAAAAAACAAAAAACAAAAGCTAGAAGTGTGTGGGAAGAAAAGTAAAACAAACACACATAAAATTATATATTATTGAATGTCGCTGAACCCAACAGATGTATTCCTGAAAATATTCACTGAGAAAAATGACATGAAAACAAACCCATTTGAAATTAGAAAAAAGTACCACTTGTTAAATAGTTATCTACATGCTCTATCCCCTACTTAGGGCCTTCACATATGTTTTAATTTTCACAACCTAGCAAAATAAGCAGGCAAAAGTACAGTACTGCCGCTGGGTGTGGTGGCGCACCCCTGTTATCCCAGTACTCCGGAGGCTGAGGCAGGAAGATTGCTGGGAGTTCGAGATCAGCCAGACCAGCGAGGGCTACATAGTGAGTTCAAGGCCAGCCTGAATTACACAGTGAGACCCTGTCTCAAAAAAAAAAAAAGTATAGTATTGCCGGCTCAACCCAGATGGAAACTCAGCAACTGGCTCTGGGTCACACAAGTAATTAAAAGTAAGATTTGCCTGACTTTTGTGTGTGTGAGACAGGGTCTCACTATGTAGCTCAGGCGGGCCTCAACAGGCCTGAGCCACCATGCCTGGCCCTTTTACTTTTTTTTTTTTTTGGTATAGGAATCAAATTTAGGGCCTTGTGCTTGCCAGGCAGGAGCTGCTGCACCTTTGAGTTACATACCTCCCCCACCCCACCCCGGCCTGAGTAAGATATTTTCACTTGGCTCCTTAAAGTCTTGCTTTAAAGAAGTATATAATCTTTTCCTAGATTAATATATACTATATGTAGCTTATACAAATCCAGATTTTTCTTCATGTATAACTTTAACTGGGGAATAAAGGCTAATATCCAACTATAAAATCAAATTAGAAGAAAAAGGGTTAATGGGCCTAAATACTACTGGGACATACTCTAGAGCAGTAACTCATTCATCTTGGGCTGGTGGAAAAGTTAGTTGCAAATATAGCAAACATTATGTAGTCATGATTTTTAAAGGCAAAACTGTCATTTTTGAAAACGAATTTGTTGCAATCTGAGCTCACTTTTAAGGTTTTTTCCCTCTTAAATATTGCTTTATTTGATTGTGGTGGTCTGAACTGCCTCTGAAAGCTGACCCCTTTGTAACCATAAAATGCCAATGCTGGAAGAGTGTTTAGAGACGCCAAGTCCAGTTGCTTTAAAAAGTTTTTGGAAAAAAATTTTTTTGGCCTCATCATAATTCCTTTTTTCCATAAATCTGGAAATCTAATACATAAACACACAGGCAGAATTGCGCGCTTTGAAAGTCCTCAAGTGACAGATGAGAAATTCACTGGGTTTGTGCTGACTTTCCTTCCTCTAGCAAACACTACTACTTTATTTAACTACTCTTGTATGTGTCCGTCTCCCTTACTCCACTTCCAGCTGAGGGCTAGGTCTGCGGATTTCGGCCCAAAAAACCGCAATCGACAACAAAATGGAATTTTTCAGTATTTCAATAAATATTGATATGCCCAGCCTGATTAAAAAAAAAAAAGAAACGCAATCGATTCCCGCACCCAGCCCGATCCAAAACAAAAACTAGTTTGCGCACACTCCCCAAGTCTCTCCGCGTAGTTTTAGGATTCTCACGCCTCGGGACATGGAGGCTTTAGGGGCCACTCGGTGATCACACGTCGCATGAGCACCCTGGACGCTTCCCAGCTGCAGTTCTCGGCACCCCGGGTCCCCGGGATTGGCCGCAGAGCTGGGAGCCCCGGGAGAAGCGGAAGTTCACTGCCGTGGTCGGAACCTCCTCCAGATCGTCCCCGCGCCAGACTGGAAGCCCCCGTGCGGGACACAGAAACCCAGAGTCGTGCTGCCCCGCCCCTTACCGGAGCCTGAGGGGGCGTCATCGAAGCCCGCGGTGAGCGCGCGCGTGAGCCCAGCCGCTGCGACGAGCAGCCAGGCCAAGGCTGGGGCAGCCAGGACGCCGGAAGCTGGACGCCCGGGAAGGGCGTGCGGGACGAGCTGTGGACGCAAGAGTGAGCCTGTCTACGCCCCACGCCACCGCGAGAGTGCGCTGCGACGGACTTGAGGACCGAGGTGGAGGGCTCAGCGCGCTCGCCCGCAGCCCAGCTGTTTCCACAGCCCCAGCCCCTCAGTGCGCTGTCGCGCCGAGGAGTGGCGCGAGCATCGTGACGCACTTCCGGGATGTTGCCGTGGGAACGGCGGGGCTCACCCCTCCTAATTTGCCAGGTTAGTAGTACCGGAAGACAGCTTGCTGCTGTCCCGGCGACCTCCTCCTCCACTGCCGGGTGCTCCACCCCATCGTCACGTCACCAGGCTGTGACTGTCACCTCTGGCATCAGAGGCGATTTAAGTGCTCCTCTGTGCAATGCGGTTGGGTGGAAACAACCGTTTCTTGAGGTTTAGACTTTGGCCTGCAGGAGAAGATGCACTTTCTGTATTGGTGTAAGGGTAAGAAAGTCATTCCTGCACGGTGGGGACGTGAGTAGGGAAAAGATCGTCTACTCATTAAGAAATCTGTACCCGGGCCGGGGATTTAGCTCAGTGGTTCCGCCGCCTGCCTCGCAAGCGGAAGGTCCCTAGTTCGATCCCCGGTACCAAAAAAAAAAAAAGAAAGAAAGAAAGAAAGAAATCTGTACCCATTAGATGCTGTGAGGAGAAGGGGTGGGGGACACTTATCGAGATCTTGACAGTCTCTGATCGCTGGGCAGGAAGGTATTCACATCCAAGAAGAATTAGATTAAACATCAGGCCTAGAGAGCATGTAGTGCAGATTGGAACAAAACAGAGCTCTAGGGCAGATGTCTCAAGAGGAGAGGAGAGAGTGTGTATCTATCTCAAACTGAAAATAGCAGGGTAAGCATGTCATTAAGAAATAGGAAGATAAATTTGGGGGGTGGGGGGGAAATCCCTAAAAGAATTGAAGCTAGTTGCCTATGGAGAGGGATAGGGCAGAGGACAATAATAGTTTTGTTGTTGTTGTTGTTGTTGTTCTAATCTCATGGAATTATTTTCCAAACAGAGTATAAACACTAGTAAAAATGAAAGTTAAAAATTTTTTAAAGAAAAGAATATAGAGTTAAAAATAACCCACATTACCTAGTATTGGTTGCACATTGATTCATTGATTGCATATTGTTTCATTCACAAGAATGTCCACTTGCTTGAATGTTGACATTTTATATTGTGATCACTAGGCCTTCCTAGAAAGTTTCCTGGAGTAAAATTTTAGTAAGATAGACTGGGAGCAGTATTTGACCATTCCATCGATCAGAGGTAGACCACAGTAATTTGATAAAGCTTTTTTTTGGTCCCAGTGATTGGATCCTGGGTTTTCCCACCAAGATACATCCCCAGCCCTTTTTATTTTTTATTTTGAGAAAGAGTCTTGTAAGTTGCTATGTTGCCCGGGCTGGGCTCAAATTTACCATCCTCTTCTACCTTCACTGCTCAGGGTGCAGGGATTACAGGCATACACCTCTGCTCCCAGTTTTGATAAAATCATTCTTTTTTGTTTGTTTGTTTTGTTTTTGAGTCAGGGTCTCTCTATGTAGTTCAGGCTGCCCTTGAACTCACTATGTAGCCCAGGCTGGCCTTAAACTCATGGTGATCCTCCTGTCTCAGCCTCCCGAGTACTGGGATTACAGGCATGTGCCACTAGGCCCAGATGGATAAAGTCATTCTTCTTTTTTTTTTTTTGGTACCAGGGATCAAACTCGGGTCCTTGCACTTGCGCAGCAGGCAGTGAAACCACTGAGCTAAATCCCCGGCCCTGGATAAAGTCATTCTTATGACTAACTTTCTAAGAGTAAAAATTGTCACATCCAACAATAAGAATTGATAATATAGATTATGATATTTCTGTAAGACAAATCAGTAATTTTAAAATTGAATTTTAGTAAAATATTTAATGATGAAATAATCATATGGGCTTTTATAAGTCAGGAAACAGTATGGATGATAAACAAATATGCTTTAACTTAAAAAATAAAACTATATGGGCCAGGGATTTAACTTAGTTGTGCCGCTGCTTGCCTTGCAAGTGCAAGGTTCTGAGTTCAAACTCCAGTACCAAAAAAAATTTTTTTAATTAAAAAAAATTTTTAAACTAGATGCCTAGAAAAAAAAGACTGGGTGATGTTTTCTTCTACCCTTCCCCCCAGTTTTCCATAATGCACATGTATAATTACTTTTTATTTTTTGTTTCTTTTTTGAGCCAAGATCTCACTATATAGTTGAGGCTGGTCTTGAACTCACTATATAGCCCAGGCTGGCCTTGAACTCATTGCAGTCCTCCTACTTCAACCTCCTGAGTGCTGGGATTACAGGTGTATGCCACCATGCTTAGATAAAGTTTTTTAAAACTATGCTCCTATAGTGATTCTCCAACAAAACTAAGTTTATGAGGATGGTACCCTATGCCAAAATTTTTGACATTTGCAAATCTTCCTGAGCCTATCATAGCCACATCAAAAGCAATTAATTCCTATAATTAAACATAGTTTGGCTCTGAAGGTGGGGGAGGAAAGAGAAAACAAAGTATGTAATCTGCAAAGAGCAGTGTTTCTTATAACTGGAAAAATATCATATAGTGAGACAAATAAATTGGAACAAAAGCCATGTAAAATGTAAACATTACTGTCTTGACCAACAGGTGGATTCTCCACCAGATCTGCCTCTGCCCTCCCACATCCCCAGTAATGGGGATTGAACCCAAGTCTTCATGCATGCTAGCCAAGAACTCTGCCACTGAGCATCAGCCACAGTCTTTTCATTCTATTTTTCAACAGACTCCCACTAAGTTGTCCAGGCTGGCCTTGAATTTGCAGTCCTGTCTTAGCCTCCCAAATAGTGCAGATTACAGTAATATGCCCCATGCCCAGCTCAGGTCTGCATTTTGGATCAGAGTTCTAAATTGTAAATACTTAGGTGATACACAGGAGCTGTGTCTTATATATTAATACATAGCCTTAAACAAGTATGTATTCAGTGCTTACTGCATTCCAGATATCATGCTGAGAGATTGTGGTGAAAAAATAGATATGCTTCCTATATAGACTAGAGGAAGCACATAGATTAGAAGGAAAGATAGATGTTTAAACAAGTAATTACAAAAAAAAACCTTACTGGGCCAGGGATTTAGCTCAGTGGTTCCGCCGCTTGCCTCGGAAGCACAAGGACCCGAGTTCGATCCCCGGTACAAAAAACAACAACAACAACAAAAAACTTTCTGAGTAAAATAATTGAGAAAATACAAGGGAGACATATCTGGTCTGGTGAACCTCTCAGGACAAAATTTTAAAGTTACCTATAGGGCCGGGGATTTAGCTCAGTGGTTTCGCTGCCTGCTGCACAAGCGCAAGGACCCGAATTCAATCCCCGGTACCAAAAAAAAAAAATAAAGTTACCTATAGTACTTTGATATAGACTAGGACAATTGATACATACTTCCTTAATTGATAAATAGAAAAGACACTGTACATCAGTTCTTGGGCTAAATTGGGGATTCCTATACAGTCTTCAGTAAGAGCACAGTACACTAAACACAAAGTGAATTGCAGAGCACTAGCTTTGGCAGCACATACACTAAAATTGGGATTGCACAACCCGCCTTACCAGTGAACAAACAGCCCTACATTCTTCAATGAACCAGAGCCTGAAAGACCCAACAAACTAAGGTTAACTTCCAGGCCTCCAAGTATTGAATTTCCCAGGCCAAGCATGTGTTTCTAGAACTGGACCACAGCCAGCCCTGCTGGGGAGGAGGAGTGAAGGGAAAGAGATTTGCCCAATGCCTAGGTATTATGGGGTTTTTGTCCCTTCAGCAGGAAATTACTATGTAGCTGACACATTTGCATTGGATTTCCTCTGATTTATCCTGAAATATATGTAAGAACGATGTGCACTGCCAAGAAATGTGGAATTAGATTCCAGCCTCCAGCTATTATCTTAATTTATGAGAATGAAGTCAAGGGGAAGAATCGTCAGCGCATCATGCCAGTCCGAAACTTTTCCAAGTTCTCAGGTACCTCATGCTTTATCTTGCTTCTTATCTGAAATATTCTCTAAATAACCTAATAAGAGCAGTCTCTTAAAATGTAGTGACATGGCCTTCAGAGTCCACAGGCTTAGGATCAAATCACAACTCTGTCAGGGACTAGATGTGTGACTTTGATAAATTATGTACAATCAATGAGCTTCAGTCTCCTAAAATAGAAAAGGTAATGGATCATTTTTTTCCAGGTGGATAATTGATAATTTAATCTTCTAAAGAGTGTTGTGGGTTAAATGAGATGGCATTATTCAGTAATATTAATTCCCATCTCTACCTCTAAACTCTTAAATTTATAGTCCCAATATTTTATTAATACCACTACTGCTACCTAAAGCTATAATGTCATTTTAAATTTTCAGACACTTTCTTCATTTGAAAGCTTTTAGGATCTCTACCAAGTGATTTTAAGTTACAGAAGTCAAAAAATATATGCACCCTTACACCTCCACAGTCAAGCTCAATTTATTACAAGGAAGAGTTCTATAAAATAATTTATTCTTATAAAGCCATTTAGCCACTTGGCTATCATGGAGACAATGATTTCAGGGTTTGGAGCTTTTTGTTCTGTTCTGGCCCTTGTAATAGTTTGTGGTGCAGTAATTGTGGTGTACATGATATATGCAGTAGACAGTTTTTCTCCCTTTTAGATTGCACCAGAGCTGCTGAACAATTAAAGAATAATCCACGCCACAAGAGTTACCTGGAACAGGTATCCCTGAAGCAGCTAGAGAAGTTGTTTGCTCTTTTACGAGGTCACTTGTGTGGACAGAGTCTGGCAACAACAATGGAACAAATTCAACGGGAAACAACCATTGATCCTGAGGAAGACCTGAACAAACTAGATGACAAGGAGCTTGCCAAAAGGAAGAGCATCATGGATGAACTCTTTGAGAAAAATCAGAAGAAGAAGGATGATCCAGATTTTGTTTATGACATCGAGGTTGAGTTCTCACAGGGCAAGCTACAGTCCTGCGGCTGGGACACAGACTCAGCTGATGAGTTCTGACTCCAGACATTCAACTTACTGGGCCAGTAGAGCGTCCATGTTTTTACCAACAACATAGTCTGATTCTAGAAAAATCTATAAAGAACCCTCAGTTGTAAAACCAAGACATTTATACCTATTATGTAGGTGCATAAGAAATATAGGCAAAATAGTGTAGGAATCTGCCAGTAAGGAGTTTGCAAACTAATTGGAAGATAACTCTGAGGACCAGGGATTTAGCTCAGTGGTTGTGCTGCCTACCTCACAAGCACAAGGTCAACCTGAGTTCGATCTCCGGTACCAAAAAAAAAAAACTCTGAAAACTTGTGAAAAGCAAATGAACACTCAAAGCAACAAAAAGGATTAGAGATGGATGCTTGATAAAGGCCAAAGAGACTTGGAGCTTAGGTTACTATAGGGGAAAATAGTCAGGGAAGACTTTTCCTTTTATTGGAGAGATACGGTTTTGCCTGCCCCTCCACTGGTAGTATTTAGCTAAAAGCTTATGTAGGATTCCACAGGAGAGCAACTAGAAAAAGAGGGAAAATGGTAAAATGACAAGAAATAGAAAAAAAATTTTTAGCAAATTATAGTTTGACAAGATCAGAGGGTGTTTATGGTTACAGGGAGTTATCCTGTATGTCTTTATTGGTACTTAACACTGTTTTGTGTGTGTGTTTAACTCTGGGGTGAAGGGTCCCCTGCAAAATGCCCTGCAGCTGCCAGTGGATAATCATGAAAAACAGCAGGGGAATTTTGCCCCTCCAGGATCAGGAAATACACACTAGAGACATTCTGGAACCTGGAGCCTCTTCCCATGATTGAGAGGTTGGTTTGTCAAATGGGAAATCCACCCATAATACATGAGCAATTGTACTGCCAGTTTGTGCATGGAATTTGGAGGGACAAAGAGAGGATTTTTGTTTAACAAGGCTGTGTACAGATACATTTGTTCTTACTAGAATGTTATTTAATTGGAAGAAATCCTGTATTTTCTAGGGTCGAGGATGTGATTCAGTGGTGGCACACCTGCCTGGCAAGTGCAGAGTCCTGAATTCGATTCCCGGTACTGGAAAAAAAAATGGAAATCCTATGTTTTCTACAAGGATATTAACATTCAGGGCCAGGGATTTAGCTCCAGTGGTTCCGGCGCCTGCCTCGCAAGCACAAGATCCCGAGTTCAATCCCTGGTACCAAAAAAAAAAAAAAAAGGATAGTAACATTCATTAAAGAAAACTGCAGAAATAGTTTATTGATTTTACCTATTTATCTTTATTCTCTTTAGCATGAAGTGCTTCACTAAAACAGATGTCTTATGTAGTAGAAATGCCAGGGCCATAAGATACTCATGTCTCATATATATTTGCCAAAGGGAGCAAAAGAATTTTCAGAATTAGAGATCCTTCCATATTTACATAGTACCCCATATATTCCATTGTGTAGATGTAAGTGATTCATTTTAAAAGTTGAACTTAGGTAATTTTTTCTTGTCATGGTTGCAAACAATATTACAGCAAAAAACCTTGTATGTTTTCTGTTTTCCACACACACAAGGGTATCTATGGGCTAAATCCCTAAAGGGGAATGGTGGGTGTGTACATTCCAAATTTTCATAGCTGTTGTTAAGTTACTCTCCATAAAGTTTCATTCATTCATTATGCATCCTTAATGAGCACCTACAGTATCCTAAGCCTGTACTATTTTAAGATGTGGGGAAATAGCATATACAACAGTCTAAACATATGCCAGAACCTTGCATATGAAAACAAGAAAACACCTGACTTTTGAGGGTCAATGTATCTAATACAATAACCAAATTTTTGTTCATCTAGATGTTAGATACATCTCACAAACATACACCCATTAGAGAGGATCTGGCAATAGTCTAGTTCTAGAAATTCATGCTTACCCTATGAAGTATAGTACTTCAAGGCCCGCCCTGAAAGTTCAGTCAGCCTCAGTCTATTTGACTGGGTTCAGTCCCCAGTACTGGGGCCAGGGAAGAAGGAAGGAAGGAAGAAAGAACTTGATTTAAAAATCTGCAAAAACTCTTGGCATGGTAGCATACGCCTGTAATCCCAGCATTTGTGAGGCTGAGACAGGAAGATCACCATGAATTCGAGGCCAGCCTGAACTACATAGCAAGACTCTGTCTCAAAAAACAAGAAACAAAAACAACAAAATGTTTAAAAGTCATAGCTAATAAACAGTTGAACAGATATTTAACATCATCGGCCATTAGAGAAATGCAAATTGAAACTACAACAAGATTATTTCATATCCACTAGAACATCTATGATAAAAAAAACCACCAGGTGGGCCGGGTATTTAGCTCAGTGGTTTGGCCGGCTGCTGAGCAAGTACAAGGACCCGAGTTCAATCCCCAGTACCAAAAAAACCACCAGGCAAGTGTTGATGAGGATGTAGAGAAACCGGAACCCTCACACATTGCTGGTAGTAATGTAAAATGGTGCAGCAGCCTCAGAAAACAGTTCGGTAGTTTCTTAAAAGTTACGCACAAACTTATCATACTAGCAATTCTACTCTTAGGAATCTGTGTAAGAGAAATGAAAGTACAAAGTCCTCACAAAGACTTGTAAGTGAATGCTCAGAGCAGCATTTTTCAAATACCCAAAAAGTGAAAGCAATCTAATGCCTATCAATTGGTGAATGGAGGAAGAAAATGTAGAATATTCACAAGACTATCAATAAAAAGGAACTGAATAATGAGGCGTGCCACAGTGACTATCATCAGAAACATCATGCTAAGTGAAAGAAGCCAGACATGGAAAACTACATATTATGTATTATATGGTCCATTTAAATGAATGTGTGTGTGTGTGTGTGTGTGTGTGAGTGTGAGTGAGATAGGATCTCACTATATAGTTCTAGCTGGCCCTGACTCATGGCAATCCTCCTGCCTCAGTCTCCAGAGTGCTGGGATTACAGGTGTGCACCACTACACCCAGTTGAAATTTTTTTTAAAAGCAACTATTGGGCTGGGGATTTAGCTCAGTGGTTTCGCTGCCTGCTGCGCAAGTGCAAGGACCAGAGTTTGATCCCCGGTACCAAAAAAAAAAAAAAAAAGAGACAAAACAGACTAGTAGTAGGGGCTGGGGATGGGAATTGACAGCAAATGAGTATGAGAGATATTTGAGAAATAATCTAAAACCTGATTGTGTGATGTTTGCACAATTGTGTAAATTTACTAAAAAATCATCCACGTGTTCATTTAAAAACAGGTGAATTTCGGACCAGGGATTTAGCTTGGTGGTTCTCCCACCTGCCTCGAAAGCACAAGGTCCTGAGTTCAATCCCTGGTACCAAAGGGGAAAAAAAAGGGTGAATTTTACAGTGTTTATTGAGGCCTTAAGAAATTTTTAAAAATAGGAAATGGAACAGAATCAGTGCCTACTAACCATTGGTCTAAGACTGAGCAAGAGAAACCAAAGGCATGTGTAAAAGACTGGAAGCTGAGTGTAGTGGTATTCACCTGTAACCCAGAACTCCAGGAGGCTGAGGCAGGAGGATTGTAAACTCAAAGCCAGCCTGGGCAATTTAGCAAGACTGTCTCAAAAGCTTTTCTCTTTTTATTACTACTCATTCTCAACCTGGATATCTTCAGCCGATGTTGTCGAAATATGGATACCGACACCAAACTGGTTATCACCACACTTTGTACTAGCTTTCTCACCTTTCAGTTTCTTTTCCACTTTGTAAGTTACTGGTTTTCTGCAAGTTTCTTCAGGTTTTAACAGTCTCAGCTTGGAAAAGAAGATCGAATGGAGCTCAAGGGTAGTCTCTACATGCTATTCTCTGGTGGTTGGGATTTTGGGCCTCTATATTTTCTTCTTTGATGAGGCTACAAGAGCTGATCCACTTTGGGGTGATTCATCATTTGTGAAACTAGATATTGCTACTGCTTCAGGCTACCTCGTTTCTGATTTGATTATTCACATTTTCTATTGGAAAGTGATTGGTGTCAAATTTTTCATAATTCATCATTGTGCGGTGCTGTATGCATTCTGCTTTGTACTGAAATATCAAGTGCTGGGGTACATTGCAAATTTTCAACTGCTTGCAGAGCTTTCCAGCCCTTTTGTGAATCAGCGGTGGTTCTTTGAAGCTCTTAAGTATCCAAAGTTTTCCAAAGCTAATGTTATCAATGGAATTCTCATGACAGTAGTGTTCTTCATTGTGTGGATTACTGTAGTACCTCCTTTCTATAGCTTCTTGTAATCCCTGTATGGAACAAAACCCTACATCAGGCTGGGATTTGTAATCCAGTGTTCCTGGACCTCTACTTGTATTGTTTTGGATGTGATGAATGTCATATGGATGATCAAAATCTCTAAAGGGTGTATCAGAGTCATCTCTCTCATCAGACAAGAGAAAGCCAATAATAGTCTTCAGAATGGAAAACTTAATTAAAGGTGTGGTTTGTCAAACACCTTTGACTAGATAAGCAATCTTCATTTCTACCCAGAATTATATCTACTAATAGGATGAATTGACATGTTCTTGTGCTTCCTTATAAATTATAATTGTTATTCAGGGGCTGGGGATTTAGCTCGGTGGTTCCGGCGCCTGCCTCGCAAGCGCAAGTTCCCAAGTTCGATCCCCAGTACCAAAAAAAAAAAAAAAAATGTTATTCAGGGTTTCAGTGTCATATTTTCTTCTTTTTAGAAGAAACTAAAATTTAGTCTTTATTCCAAGATTTTCTCTTTTCTTCATTATAAGCATGGATAAAATCTTAAAGTTTTAAATAAAAACTATACAGTGGTGAACTTTTTCAGAAATCTCATAGCCTGCATTAGTATTTTTCTCTGTGGAAAGATGACTGTGATAATTTGGTGCACTTTTGCTAAAAAGATGGGAACTACTTTTAAATCTGTAAATAACTCTCAACATTTTTTTGTATTGTACTTTTTTCTTATGTCAACACCTATGTAGGTTTTTATTTCCAAATTGTTGACATGATCTTTTCTCCAGGCTATTAAAAGTGACATTTTCTATTTTAGATATGCAGTCATCTACTAGTGGTGAAGTATTTTACTCATTTTGAGGATTTTTTTCATTAGTTTGATCATGGAATATACTTCCTGGATCTTAAGATTTTTTTACATGTCATTTATTTCTATTTTAGTATTTTATCACCTTATTTCTTTTTATTTTGTAGTAAGGGTTAAGGCAGATATTGTGGACCTCCTTTAAGGATGAGATTCTTCTAAGAATTCACATTGATAAATGACTAGGCTAGTGATGGTGAACCTTTTAGAGCTTTCAGTGATACAGGTACTGCAGCATGTATGCCATAGGTTTGCTACCACTGAACTAGGCTAATACTGTTTTATTTTTTTTTGATACTGGGGATTGAACTTGGGTCCTTGTGCCTGCGCAGCAGGCAGCAAAACCACTGAGCTAAATCCCCGGCCCAAGGCTAATACTGTTGATTAGATCTATAAGAAAAATCATGTTAATGTTGCTGCCTGCTTCCTTTTTATTTTTTCTAAGAACAATATATTATTTTTATGTGTAAAATCTCCCGAGTTCAGAACCTGACATTATCAGTAGTCTTCTTATGCAGTATGTTTTGTCATGCTCGTAAAATAGGTTTCTGGACTAGACCAAAATGACAAAATAATCAGTATTCATTTTTTACTCAGTTTACATGTACACTTGCTTACTCAGCACTTTGAGTGCTTTGAACTTCTGTCTTTCTTTAAAAAGCAGGAAGGAATAAGGAAATTTTTGTTTTGTTTTTGTGTTTTGGTACCGGGGATTGAACTTGGGACCTTGCACTTGTGAGGCAGGCAGCGCGGAACCACTGAGCTAAATCGCTGGCCCGGGAATAAGGTAATTTAATCCAAGCATTCTGGTTATCAAAATTAGTGTCTTAACATGAAAATAAAAGACTGTGTGTGTATATATGTGTGTGTATGTTCACTTTGGTTTTTGCAGTGCTAATATAGAATTATTTAACTCTTGTTGCTTTTATTTTTCTCAAACACTTTAACTATTGTTCTTAATCTAAGGAAAAAATTTAATTCAACTAGTGGTAAATACTTGAACTTAATTGAACCTAAACCAAAAGATTTAATCCATTCAGTTTCCCAATTTGCAGGAAAATGTTTGGTTCACTTTCATTGTTTGTGTTATGATGATGAAAGGAGGCTGGTTGAATGTAATCAAGACTCTTAATTTAATTTGATTTGATTGTTCACTGTGCCT